GTGACTCCCAGCTCCATAGCCTTTGGCAGGAGGTCATGCGTGACAGTTTTATTGATACGGACCTCTGTAATAATTACACAGCGTCTTGCATGCACTATTGATCAGGCCTATTGATAAAATAATATTTTACTGTAAAGGTCTGTTGATTTGATGCATTACAGCATAAATCTCTCCTCACAAGCAGCTGATTTGGAAGCCCTACTGCAGAGTGATGGATGTTCCCACAGATAAACACACACCCGCACAGAAGAATACACACACAAGTATTTATATCTATTGTTTGAATGAGGTAGTAACAGACACAGGTTAAAGACAGGCAGAGATGTAATGATACCCATATAAATATACGATCACATAGAGAAGACAAGTGGGATCTGCTATCCAGCACAGCTCATATGATGTGATATATATATGCTAGGATGTTTATGGAGTCACAGCTCCATCTTATCATGATTTGTATTGTCAGCAGGGGCTGAATCTGCATGGTGGTAATAGATCCTGATGTGGTTCAAATGCCCCGTGGTGAATGGGAAATAGAGATGAATGTGACAGATCATAGAGAACTTGTCCTGTATATAAACGGCCTTTAGAACTGTTGTTCTCACAGGCAGGGAGGACAGATTGTTGAACAGCAGGCGTGTAGGGAAATGTCATTGCTGGTATTAAACTTGTAAAAATGTGATCCTCAAAGCTGACCTCTACAGTTGATGCAATGAAATTGATATGATTTCCAGAGGAGAAATATTCTATACGTTTTTCTGGTGTTAAAGAGGTTTTTGTCATTCTGAAGTTGCATGCAGCTGAAATCCAGACTAATGGAGGACTAAACACAAAGTGTCAGGTAATATACACTGGTACTTATGGTGTCACGCATTATCACCCTTTGATCTTACAATGGAAAAACATAGTATTTGTAATAAAGGAAAGGACCAAATGTATTACTATTGGAGGAAAGGAAAATTGGTCTTTATGGTTCAGGTTAAAAAGCAGCTCACTAGACCATGTTTCCGCTTTGGCTGCCAGTTCAAAAGCATGTTTTCTTTTTGGACTTTTCGCCGGCTGAATTCTGAACCACTTGGGGGTAGTTTGCAAAGGTTGTGGTGCACCAGCGACAGGCTGGTTTTCACATTTAAGCAGCCAAAGGGACATGGGAAACATGACCGTGTTCAAGAGGCCTACAAAAATCTAAAAGCCGGGTTACAGAGTTAATCGCTGGCCCAGTGGAGACCCCCCCTGAGCGGCTGCTTCTACAAAATGCTGAACAGCATGTCTGGCTGTAGCGCAGGAATGTTGTCCTGCAGGGGACAGAGGAGGGGAAATTGATTTTAATCAGCAGTGATGTATTTTATAAGCATAAAACCTGCTCCAACTTGCACTGTTTGAAATGCTCTGGAATTCTGATACTATCAAATGCATGAAACCAATAAAATAGCTCAACAGTTTCTACACTGCCTTTTTAATGAATAGAAGTGTGGGAACATCATTTTGGAAAAAGCCTTCGTCACATAACAGGAAAAATAAAACAGATTTCTCCGTATTTTTGCCATCAATTCAGGACCCTACTTCCATAGTTTTCCATTGATACATTATGGAATCTATCCATACCATCCTGTGACTTTGAACATACACACTACCATTGTACCACAACTGTTTGAAATGCTAATATAGAGCTTGTGAAATAGCAACAATACCACCAGTGTGTTCCCCAGAGCTGGAGGGAAAAGGCAGAGCAAGACAAAGGCAGTTTTTAATCTGAGCAGGAAGCATACAGTGGCGATTCACTCTGACATGGTGATTGATATGAGTGAGTAGTGTATTTACCGAGTCTGACGGGATAGGAGAAAGAGAGTGTTTTCTTCCCATCCGTACGCTTATCTCCCTCCATAAATCACTGCCAATGGGATGCATAAATGTGGATGAGAAAATGTTGTATTGTTCCGACTCAGGCAATTCTACTTTGACCTTTACATTTGCCATTGGTCACTGGTGCTAAACGCATACCATGACCCTTTCTGACCTTGGGCCATTCATATTTAATAGCCATGAAGCCTGATGGTTCATTAGACTGAATACAGTGTATGAACACACACGCACCACATAAACACTCCAAACAAGTAGTAACTGTAGTCGGGCCTAACATCTTTTCATGCCATCATTTTCTCTGTCGATTTAAAATATCACATTAATATAGACAATATACGATCAGTTTTGTTCCCTTCTCATCAGTCTGTGTCTTTATGGCTATGATTCTATTATCCCTTTCCCAGCGGCACGCTATGATGGGATATGTCCATCCTAACCTTTGACTCAGGCCAGTGCTTTAAAGGTTCTGCTCTTTGCCCTTTCCCATTTGACCTGTCTGAAGTATACCTTTATAATTGCCTGTGTCGCTATCAAATGCACATATGAGAGGGGGCAGGGGCAGGGGCAGGGGGCCGAAGTCTGTCCGGTAACCTTTTGGCCTCTTGTTCATCCATTCTGCTTGGAGCGAGCACAGCATGCTTCCTCCCCCTGCCCACAATCCCATACTGTATTAGTCTGCATGTCGGAATTATTGATGGTACTCTGGAAATATTTTATTGGTCAGTCATGACCTTTGACTGGGGCAATGCAAACACTAACCCCCTCAAAGCTTCCTATTGACATGGATATATATATATGATCAGATGGCTAATAGAAGTATAGATTTAGAGTGGCTGAGGAGCTAGTCGTTTAGATTTTAACACCATGAGGTCAGCATTGTTTTTTCCCACTATGCATGTTAAGGGTCACATACTGAGTTTGTCACCTATCCTGTGATGTACAGGAAATACATTTTTAGGAAGACACATGTATGTGTAAATTAATAATACTAAATAATTTCAAATTACGGTTTATATTTCAAATCCCAAACCTTAAATACTCTTTAAAATGGTGACTCTTTTTCTCGTACTGGTCCTCCTCACATCTTTCTTTATTCAATGTACTGTACGTCTCTTCATCAAAGGTAGTGTATCTTGTGCTGAAGTACCCACAATTAAGATAAGCCCAACCCCAGCTGGACAATTACCTGCAAACTAACCTTTTCTGGAGGCACTTAAGAATGTAAGGACCCCTGAGGATAGATGCGCCTGAGTAGAACAAGCACTTGAACAGAGAGAGAGAGGGAGGGAGGATGTAAGGTATGAGAATGCCGGGGTAGAGAAAGGGTGACAATGAGGAATACAAAAAAGATAGAAATAGAGAAAAAGACAGTATCATGGTGAGATTACCTAATCCTCTGTCTGAGAGCAGTATTTGAAGGACCTGGTGGTGTCAGACATGAGGGGGCTTTGTGGAGGTTTACCCAGGAGAGGCCGGCTCAGCAGGGGGATATAGTGTAACTCCAGGTGACCAGTGCTCTGTCCCCAAGCACAAACCTCAGCCCATGGCTTTGTAACCGCTGTTAAATTGATTGCAGGGAGCTGATGAGATTTCCCTGCAGCCCGGGTCATTATCACATTGTGTACCAGCTCTAATTCACTCGTACTGAGCCCTCTATGGATTGTCACTATGGTTTATGTAGTCATTTTTAATGTAAGTGACAGTATTTTCTGTCAAAAGTTCATATATCTGTCAGGTTGCGTGTGATAAAACTGGTTACAGGAATCTCAAATGTGACATGAATTTAATGACATACATTGAAAAACACTGACTTGTATTTCCTTTCCTAATGCCTGCTGCAGCATTTTTAGCACGGATCAGGGTGTTACAGTCTACCCTGCTGTGCAACGGGGAGAGTTTCAGCACTGTATGATATCTGATCCCTAAAATGCTGCAGGGCACCCACTGCAAATCAACAATGGATTAATGGATCTGGTTCTGCTCGTAAATCTCTGTGGAATTGGAAAGCGTTCTAGGACAGTCAGCCTGTAGTGGTGTTCTTAATGTTACAGGCAGTTTGGGTTTCCCATCGTTCAATGGCAGTGACAGGGTAGTAAAGATGTGGCAGCATCTTATGTCAGCGTTAAATCAGTGAATGTCAGGAATACTGGATTGTCAGTCTGCGGTGGTGAGAGCTATATCAACACTGATTCATTGGTAGAGATTTGTTTATGAATAACTCTTTTCAATAGCTCTCAACATACAGTAGAATAACTATATGCACCATAGAAAAGACAGGGGGAAAAAAGTGAAGTGCAGACATGCCCTAATTCAGCGATGTCAGTACAACCCTTCAACCTAAGAGTGGTGCGGTAAGGCCTTGCCATAGATCACAGTGGTTAACAGTTAGCTGTTCCTGCAGGTGTATAGGGAATGGCAGTAACTGCTTCCATTACTGGACAGAATGGCCCAACTCCCACAGCCCCCTCCAGACAGCGCTGTCATTACCCATCCATTGTGAGGCCTGAAAGGGAGCTGTAAGTACGGCAGACTTATGGCTTTGTTAGAGTGACTAGATGGTCTCCTCTGTCTCAGCACAGGATAAGGAGGGACGGTGGTATGGAAGGATAGCCAGATGGAGTGATAGAGATGGAGGATGAGGAAGGATCGAACACTCCCTGATGCCACGCCACCACCACCACTTCCCGATGTGCTCGTGAGTAAAGTGCAGGCGGGTGGGTGGGAAGGGTTATTTGGTGCTATTTTTACAAGAAACGGGTTGATTTGTCTTAGGCCATTACCGTCTATTACAGCTGCGAGTCTTGGGGAAAAGGTGGGAAGCGGCAGACGCTGGCATTCTGCCTAAAGAGAAATCAATGAAACAAATTAATCCTTCGCAGGCTGCGGTGACACAGTAATCCATCATTCAGGGGGCGCTTTTACACACTGAATCAGGGAGCGAGGCAGGGAGGTGGAGGGATTGGGGGTCGGGGTGGGGGGGCTGGGTTGGTGGGTGCGTGTTGGTAGAGTGGGGTGGGGGAGAGCAAGACTGAGGCTCTGGGGGACAGGGGCAGACATCCACGCTCCGGTAACACTGGGGCAACGGTGGGTGGTGGCAGGGAATCAAGTAGCTCTGAGCCCTTCCTTTATAGCCTTTAGTTGCCTGTGGACATACAGAGCAGGAGGAGGAGGAGGAGGAAAGGGACGTAAACACAATCAGCTAAACTGCACCATGGACATGGCCATGATTGCACACATACGCCTACACATATTCTCCCTGTTGCCTGTCGCTTGCTGTCTGCTTTAACCCCACCAAGCTGATGGTTATGAGAATGATAGGAGAGCTTTATTATTTATTTACACTGGACACACAAGCAAGCCAACTGGTCATTAATGCATGGACATAACTTGGGTGGGAAAGAATATAGGGTGAAACTGGGGCCATGAGGTGAAGGGAGAAAGAGAGAGGATATAGGAAAGCTTTGCTGTAATGTACAGATAAACTGAAGCCACAAATTACACTCATTGCTTAACATTCCAGCGGCACATTATAGCACTGCATTGTTTCAATTGCAGATCATAGCAGATTGTACTCGTGATGACATATTATTTTGCATTGTACATCATTAAAGCAGTCCTTGGTCTACTCCCCACCCATAAACATACACAGAACTCACTGCCCTTCTGCCTAGCAAGATAAAAAAACAACCCAACATTTTACTATTCAAAGCAGAGAGCCATACACATGCACCCAGATTTGCCTCAGTGACGGCCATTGCACGGCCAATTAGAGCTCAGATCTATCCGTGTGATTGAGTCATGTGATCAGCTGCCCTGTGAGGAAACAGTCCTGTCCAGGCCAAGATCCATGTGAAGCAGCTGTACCCTCCGATGAATCACACAACAGCCGACATCAAATGATATCACAATTCTACCGGGAGTGAGAGGGGAAAAGAACACATACGCACACATATTAAGATTGATGTGTTTTTATTAAGATCTTTGCTGTGTTGCATTGCCTTTTAGTAATATTACATCATTATGAAAGCAATTTCAAGAGCATGATCCACTCTGTTACTGTATCAGCCGGCTTTGTTGGTCTCCAGGCTCCCTTGTGGCACTGAGGTTGCTCTGCTGACGTTCATCAATGGTGACCGCGTGTGTTTTTAAAGCAGTGACTTGTAGCTGGAGCTTTGATAGAGGGTGGTGATGCTTAGGAAGCCGGGGTCATTCCATGAAAAAAAAAACCCCGTAATGCAGAAACACAACTGGCAGCACCATCATTTGCTGTGTCATTTTAATAGAGGGTGCCACTTACCTTAACCAGCTTTCCAAAAAGGAATTCCGATACCCCCCCCCTTTTTGCCTCTAAAGACACAGGTGGTAGCATTCTGTGGAACGACAGGTTAGAAAATCAGAGAAAATAGTGGGTGGAGGAAAAAGGGAGAAGGGGGGAGTGAGTGAATGCGCTGGGAGGTGAGCGAAGGGAGGGAGAGGCTGAGCAGGGTGGTGCAGGAAGGGTAACAGGAGCAAGAGTGGTCATAGAGTGGAGACGAGGTGAACAGAGAGGGAGGGAGGGGAGGAAGGGGAAGAAGTGAAAGGATGGAAAAATGTGTGGATATTGCTGCAGAGCGGATGGTGTGAGGGAGGCAGAGTGAGAAATGTTGCCGGAAATGCTAGAGCCAGCAGTGTGTGTAAAAAAACCACACTGCAACATTTCTCATCCTTGACATCACTGACAAGCTTTCCAAACACACACAGTGTGCTTTCAAAATGCAGGGCTATAAAACCTCAATCTTTAACACATATGTTTGTCCTATGTTTATACTCTCTTTGTTTCCTTTCCTTTTGTAAACAAGGCAGATGTTGGGGATATTAAATTTAACCGATGCCGTAATTCTTAATTTGTTTTAAGATTCCTACAGCAAATTCAATAAAACATGCTTTCGTGTAATGAGAACTTTCTCCCTCCTCTCGTCTAGGAGACATACTGGAATGACGGATATGAGAAGAGGGGAGGAAGAGGAGGAGGAGGACAGAAGATTGTTGTGGAATGTTTGCAGTTCTGGCCAAAACTCGACCATCTCATTTGTCAGGGCTTGACCCCAACTGTTGGGTCAAGGGTCAAAGGGAACATCTGAGGGGAAACTGACTTGGCTATCACACACACACACACACACACACACACACACACACACACACACACACACACACACACACACACACACACACACACACACACACACACACACACACACACAGAGAGAGTCAAGCAAACACACAAACATGTGTGAAAGCGTCTGTGAGAGTGTCTCCTTACCTCTCCTTCAGCGCGCTCACACATAATTCAAACTAATGTGCAGTACATCTGTATATATCATCATTATTATCAGTCCTACTCTTATTTGTTTTATTTATAGTGTATTATGTTGACCTCTAGCTACGAAAAATATCAGCTGTCATTTTGCGAATAGGCATACTATGGTCTTTTTCCAAAACAAATCATTGAGAACACATTTTAGTTCCATGATGCTTGGATTCATTTCTGAGTAGTTTGTGTTAGTACTTGATAAACACACACACTCCAGAAATGTACTTAGTGAACAGAACAAATCTTAACAGACCAATACAATCCAGAGAGGGCAGCCTGTTCAAATCTATTAAGAGTTACTATTAATTTACAATTGATGTTATATTTACCACATACGTATTTGATTAAGTACAATAAGCCTGTCACTGCAGGGCTGTCATGTCAAGTGGGCCAACGCTCATACTAAGCAGTAGTATCACCATCAACGTCTTATAATCAAACAGCACTCGCAATAAATTACATCTCATCCAAGTGTCAATCCTTGCACCACACCGACACGTCCCGCTGTGTTTCTGAACACCTGGCCGCCATGTTGCTCTCTGCCTGTGAGGAGACACACAACACAAACTTGGTTACAAAAGGGCAAAGTTAGCTCCGCCGAATCAGTCAAACTCTCTGCTTCAAGTTTCAAATTAAAGTGAGGATAAAGCCGGCAGTGACAGTGTGGGTGGCCTGCTTCAGTGACCGACATAATCACTGGACACCTGTGAGTCACATGACATTAAGACAGAAACCACACTGTGCATACTGAAACTGGTACATTGAGTTCATGTTGAGCTTTATTAATATATTTACAAATGAAGATTAGCGTGCACTTACTACTGTACTGTATCTCTGGCTGTTCTCTGGCTGCTCTCGTCTGCACCTCCTGTAAGGGAACAAATTGTTCATTTTCATGGTTTGAAATGCAGCCTATCCATCTCTTTTTCTCCTCTTAAAAAAAGGACAGGTAGCACAGCGGCTGATATTCATGGCTTTTGAGACGGATCTTAAATCTTACACCTTTGTCATTCTTTGGCCGGAGACATCAAACAGGTGCTATGAATAATTTATCTTAAGAGTTTCACATTGATAAGGTCACAATCTGCCAGGTCTGGACGCTAAACACAGGCCACCTTCACACCTTCACTTCACTGTCTTTTAACACACATGTGCCCACACATGCAAACACCAGACACCTTTAAAATGAAAATACACAAAATGTCAAAAGGGTTCCGTCCAGTGTGGTTGGTGTGAAAGAGAGGGAGGGATGTCTTTTGGTTTAAATAATATATATGTGTTTCTTCAATGTTTTTATTAAGAAATTGCTGTTTTTTATAATCTGTGCTATATTTGTTGCATTATATGTAATATATAAGATGTTTTAAATTGAAGAAAACATTGTATTGCAGCTATTCATTTATGGCATATCATATTTTGAGGGCTGACAAATAAATAAATGTGTGGTTTACCCAATCGGACCAATGTTGTTTCCTTTTTTTCTCTGTAATGATGTAAATCTGCCAATTTGCTCAGTCATATTGCTCCAGCATTATGATGGTTCAGCTACACTACATTAATTAAACCCCTTCTGTGTTTTGGTTTTGGGGTAAGAAAATTGAGGGGGGGAAATCCCAGTGCGGATGTGATGCCACTCAGTTAGTTACAAACCAAAACAACCAAACAAGTTAAGCCAGAAGGGGGTCAAACTCTGACCCAGGGTCAGTAATTATTGCAAGGCATCATAACCAACAGTGTAAACAATAAACTGTCACCTAAAGAGAACCAATCAGTAATCATCTGCTCATTTTAAAATTGTGTTTAATATGAAATTACTGTTTTAATTACTGTTTTAACATGGGTCCCCCACACGACAGTGACAGTACACTTCATGAACGACGAGCTTCTTTTTTTGCCTCCCCCTTTGAAAGCACACATTGAATCGCTCCTATACTGTGTTGACCCCCCCCCCCTCTTCCTCTCTCCTCCTCTGCCTCTCTCTCCTTGTTCGCTCCCCTATAATCGCCATACTTCTTAAAAATTGTTTTGCACTCTTCTGTGTCGGAGGGTAATCTCGCTCTTTTGTCGCTGAGCTATATTTCTACTGTGTGTTGTCGGATAATGTGAGGATGGAATGAAAGGTAATCTGCGTGCAGAATTCCTAAAGCTCCCTTATCCTTGTTGAATTTCTCAAGAATTCCACCTTTGCCCTCCGGTTTCCCTGAAATAAATTACTTTAAGGGTGAGATGCCTTCACACGCACCCCCGTATGGGTTCCGGTTTTTGTACTGCCTTCTTTAAACGCAGTTAACAGGCATTATGTATTTTTCTAATTCACTTCATTCTTCCGGACCGCGTCGCTCCCTCGATATTTCTAATGCGCTTTAATAACAATAAATGATTTACCAAACTTGCATAAAAATAGAAACCAAAGTATGAAAACGGTGTGTTGATCATGTATGATTACAATACATTAAGTTGACAGTAATATAAACAGGTCGTGTTTGAATCTAACCATCGACCACTGATGAGACATTTTCCCCTGACAGTTAATGTTCTGTCCTGTTTAGTTTACTCTGTGTTTCGGTTTAGCTGCTGATTGATATACGCTGGGCTTCCCCTTACAGTGGATGTCTAAGAAGTACACATGCTGTTGCAAATCTGTTTCCCTTCATCTAGCTTCTGGTACTTAAAGTTTGGTTTTTGGGTGTACTACAAAATTACAGTGTTTGCACTGTGGAACCACGAGGTTTTGGGTGCTAATGGATTTATAATCTCCGTCTCTGGGACCATCCAGAGTAATTAGCACATGGGCTCTAAAGAAATGATGGTTAGTGAGCAATAAAGCCATTGCCCATAGCTTAAACTGACAGTCCCTCTAACTTAACTCCAACCTCAAGCCTAATTGGGAAAGTCATTGCAGTTATTGTGCTCAATTATAGTCTGCGATGCAAAAACCCTAGAAAGAGACTTTCATTTATCACGTCCAAAACTGAGGGATCTCAAATCTCAGGAGACACGGGCCATAATAAAAAAATAATGAGGAAAAGCACAATAATACAAACTAGCATGATTCAAACTATGGGATAGTGCAATTGTACTGCTAAACTAAAGTCCTTTTAGGGCAAAATAATATATGAATAAAAAAAAAACATAATACAATTATGAAATAATTATAAGACAAATTAAGATATATATATATCCTTAATCAACAGAATGCTGTTTGCATCTGTCGGTTTTAAACTGTGTGTTACAAACACTTTTCAGTTTCCAGTATAATTAACAGCCATGCTATTATGTTAACTCTTATTGCCTGTTAAATGCGTTGGTCTTAAATGGNTCTCATTTTGTCTCTCATAGTTGAGGTATACCTAGGATGAAAATTACAGGCCTCTCTCATCTTTTTAAGTGGGAGAACTTGCACAATTGGTGGCTGACTTAATACTTTTTTGCCCCACTGTATACACACATAATATAATACAATAATAATAATAATAATAATAATAATAATAATAATATATACAACAGAGTATTTTCACAGTGTATTAATAGTACTTGTACTTTTGCAAATAATTTGAATATTTCTCAGAAAGATGCCACCGGCAATGGTCCGATATTGCGATACATATTTTTCTCCAGTCGTTCAAAAGCAAATAACGAAGCAGTGCTATTATTATTATGATGTCAAAAAATGTTATTGCGGTATTGTGTTTTATTACTGGATGTTTCTGTTGGCTCAGGGTTGTATTGAGAAATCACATTTCAGAATTATATTTCTGTTCATCACAAACCACTGAAATAGGTATCAGTGACTTATTAAGGCAATGTCTAAGGTGAAAAAAACAATTCACAATAGATGCGACTGAGTGCATCCAGGTGTTCATGCGTCCGGCACACACACATCCTCACAAACACTTGACCTCCATGCCAATTTTGAAAAGCAATAAAGTTGCTGGTCACAGCTAATAAAAAATTGACTACATTACATTATATCGAATTAAGTAGAATTTTGGCTCGCTTTCTCTCACTTTCTTTCTTTCTCGTTTTCTTATTTATTGAAGACTGGTATTACGTTGTTTAAATTCCTGTCCTCAACTATTAATATGATAATTGGGGTTCCCACAGTGAATAAACCTAGGTTGGAGAATTGTTGCAAAAAACATTTGGATAACGCATTTTTATTCAGATTGACCCCAGACAAGAATCAGCGTGTTTCTATAACAAAAAAAGAGGAATTCAGATAATGTTTAGCTGGTGAATGACCAATTTTCTGATTTTATCTTTAAAATAATTAACAAATGCTGACAAACTCTATAAGAAAATGTTCCCATTCTCTATGCATGCATTGTTTTCTATCGAGAGCTGTACCCTATATGTACCTATAAGTATTTCACTCCAATGTAACATAATACGTGTCCTTGGTTCGATTATGTTCGAACATAGGTCCCCAAAGGGAAATGAGCAGTTCCTACAGACTACAACCAGGCGACATAAGATAGATCAAGCATAATGCTCGTTAGTGCTCATTTGTCATATTGATGTATCTGACTCCGGTCTTTTATCTTTCCCAGGGAGCTTCCGGCAGAGTGGGGGAGCAGAGCAGAGGAGGAGGAGCTGGAGATCAGTGTGGAGGACCTGACGGAGGAAAATTATGTCCCCAGGAGAAAGACCTTTCATCCCTTCAGCGGCCGAGGATACCGACTCGGCAGGTAAGAGATCGATGTTGTGAAAATATTACAAAGGTTACATTCGGGAGTATTAACTATGTTGAAAATAAATAATTGTCTGTAACACTATATGAAGGTCATGTATATAAAGCATTCTGTGCACATTCGTAAGACATTATGCTGCATATATAAGCCTTCAAATTACTCTTTATTAAAGTCTTTAATCACACATGTCATTATATAGCAAGGTTTATAAGTGTTGGACATAATGTGTTATAGGTTTAGCATTTATTATTTATTACTCAATGCCGAAGGGATAACGGTTTGAAAAAAGGCATTGACTCCTCAGTTTCACAGCACATTATAATGACTCTCGTCTGTTATGAACACATATAGAAAACAGCTGTTTATGTATTATAACGTATAATAAATTCAACGTTTCTGAAATGGAATAATGTCTAATAAACCTCAATAACAGCTTGACTTTGTGAGCATACAGCATTGTATGTGATTTTCTGATACTTGCAGCCAGCAAAAAACACTGCTCGTAACTCATGAAATGTACCACCTCTAATAAGGTTATGTTAGTTGTGTTTGTTCCATTCTTTGTCATCAGAATGACTGAAAATTAAAAGTAAAAAATTCATGACACTCCATTGAAGGGTGTAGCATCAACCACAGATTAACCCATTAGATTTGGTGTGGATTTGAGTCTTGGTTTGCAACGTGAATTATCTTTGGCCTTTTTGAAGATCTATGTTCTTTTTTAAATTGTGTTATACTGTAGTTTCATACACCTTTTATTAAGCAAGAAGCCTCTAGAACCTGCAATTTACAGTGAGTTTACAACACCTCTGGGGCGTTGTTTGACTTAACAGAGCACAGTCAATTCAGTAAAATTATGCATTATAATGTCTTGAGAATGCCTAAAATGCCTTATAGACACAACCTTTATGTAAAGGTTTACCAAATTTTGAATAATAATATAACCAATAATAAACCTGTTGAGTTGCCTTTAAAAAAAAAGTAGTGTTAGTTTTAAGTCCCAATATATTATATTACTTTCTACCACTAGGTGTCCCTCTAAATCCAGGTATCAAAACACCCACAGGCAAATCATAGCACACAGTCCTGATGAAGTCAGAGGCTCAACATTTCTCTGTAGGAATACTCAATTTTCCAGAGAGTCCACAAACGATTTAACCTGAGATGTTGACCATTTACACCTGGGAGTAGACTGTTATAAAAATACACAGTACATATGCTGTATGCCCTTTTAACTGTTTTTTAATCTTTTTATCTGTATCCCTGTCCATCCCCAGTGTTGCACCCAGAGTAGTGGTCAGGTCACCATCTGTGCAAGAGGATGGAGAATCTCCTCCTATTCCCATGGTAACACTAGACCACACCCTTCCTGTTACCTCCCTGCAGATCTGGTTGGCTGACGGCAGGAGATTGGTGCAGAGGTTTAACCTATCGCACCGGTGCGTATCACAAGGTCCAAAAAACACACAACTCAGCTTGACATCATATATACATCAAATAATATCTGCATATCAAAGACATACTTCAGTATTCAGCGAAGACAATGTACATCGACACTCTCTACCCCTGCTATGCTGAAAGTAAATCCCGTATAATCTTAAGCATCGCAGGAAAAAAAGTAGTTCAATGGATGACATAAGA